TCCTGCTGCTCATCCCACAACCAAGCAGTGCCTGCAAACTAACTCTTCTCCTGGAAAAGAAAACTAGAAGTAACCCACCTGGTATAAGAGAGCCCTTCCAAGAGGACCTTTGTTACCTGCTTCAGCCTAGCTACAAACCCTGGTGAGCCAAATAAGGTGCTTCCACACATGCAGGTCACTAGCAGGACTGCAGCTATGATGGTAAGCTGATTCACCTGTGATTGTACTGCCTGCAGTTGGGTCTGATCCATAAACAGTGTCAGTGAACAGAAACCAAATCAGCCTGTGAGTGTAGAGACGGTAGCTATGATAACAGCAGTTCACAAGCCATGGAGCAGGACCGTAACATCTTCACGAAGCTGAGTGGGAGGAGGCCACCTGGCAGCAGGGAGGTTTAGTTTTGTGAAAAGTCCCAAGTTGTTTCAAATGGGGAATAAAATCATGCTGTAGAGAGGACAAAGGCTCTGCCCAGTTCTTTCTACAGAAGATACAGAACTGGTAGACCTGTTTATTTTGCGTATCTTTATGACTTTGCTGTAAAAGTGTCCAAGCACTTCTCCTACCTCAGGATATTCCTTTGGTCCAGGTTCCCAGCAGAGCAGATTCATGTATCCTCGGTTTAGCACAGATGTGGGACTTGGCATAGCTGTGCTACTGCTCCCTGTGAGAGTGAGGCAGGCGAGCTCTGACTGTAGGGTGGGATGGAGATTGTGAAGAGGACACAGACAGTTCTGCTGCTGCTTTGCAGAGCCACTCTGTTGTGTGATCCAGGCTATCTGTAATGGGATAACAAAAATGGATGTTTGAAAGTACAGTCAGACTGCTCAGGCTAAGTTGGTAAGAAGTGGCTATGCTATACTACAAGCTAGTGTGTTTTGGGAGGCCAAGGCATTGTGCTGGCTCCTGGAATGGCGAGGAGTAGCTAACAAGATCATTAAAGTACAATGTAAATGTGTAGCTGCCAAAGCAAGGGTTGGGCTAGTGGAATCAGCCTCTGGAGAGCTTTATATTAAATAAAGGATTTCAGTCTCCAAAAGGCACCTTTAATGAAGTCCTATGAGGGAGAAAGGAAGACAGAAATATTCTAGAGCCTAGTGAAGAAGAGACGTCTACGTCAAATGCAGACTTTCCTCTTCAAATATGTCTGCTAATAACATTTTGCTCATTCCTCTGAGGATCTCAAAACACTTTAAACTTATGAGATCTTGTAGCTCCTTATGGGATGGCTATTAGCTCTGTCTTATGCAAGGAGAAACTGAAGCACATTAAATAATTTCTTTTCTGCAAGGTATGTCAATGAGGAGGCTGAGAAAGGGACCTAGGAGCCCTTTAGCTTTCAGAGGCAATTCTCTCTCCTGTTATTACAAATGAGCACGTGATGAAATCATCAGCTTTGGAATACTCAAGTCCCTTTCTAGTGCATTTAACAGCTCCTGTAAGAGAACACAGCGTTGAACCAGCAACTTCTCTGGCTTCCCTGCAGACTTACTAGGCAGCTTATCTAAGAGTTCCTGGAATTTCTTCTGTTCGTTCTGGACAGAGTGGTCCTGCAAGTGGGGGTGGAGGCTCTGGATGGTAAAAATCAGCATATCCATTTTCATCAGGTCCAACACCTGGAAAATCTTCCTGGGATGAGACACAGTGAATTGAAATTTTCATCCTGTAGTAAATGTAGTAAACTAGGGTCATTTTAGAATGCTGAGAAAGGGGAATTCAGAAAGGGGAATGTGGATTTTATTCTGTTTTCTGACAAAAGGCTGCTCAGTCTAATTGGAATGTCCGGTCCCTAAAAATTACTAGAAAATCAGATTCATTTCAGTAAGGACTTTTCCACTGTGTGAAGGGCGACTAGGCAATAGAAGTATGTCTGCACTGAAACTCAACTTCAAATAACGACAAAGCTGAAGCCCAGAGTGCATAAAAGGGATCTTGGACTGTAATTCCAGGGCAGAGTTTTCTCTAGGCCCAATATACGATGGTTGAAGGTTATGCTGGTTTATATGGACCAAGTCACAATCAGCATCACCCACCTAAGAATTTGAACTGAATCTGTTAGGTTTTGCAATCTTTGTACTTCCTCATCTCGAACAGGCGCACACAGCACTGCCATTGTGCCAAGGATGTACATGGTGAGACTGTGGATATCCAGAGCCCCATGTTCAGCCTCCCGTCTAATCAACTCCATGTCCAGGGCTTCTTCAATTTGGCTTTGCAGTCAGTTGTACAGCAGTGATAGCAGAGCCTGCCAAAAGAGAAGCATTGCCTCTTTTTGTTCAAGGAACTCTACAGTTTTCCAGAGTTGCTCAACAGGAATCAAGATTGGCCTTGCTATATTGAGAGTAAGGTAACTACTGAGTACTCAAACTCTGGGGCACACAATAGCTTTAAGTGACTGCTTGTCTCTAATGTCTCATTTCAGAGTCTGGCTACTGTTTCACGTATTGCAAAATCTCCTTTACTGTCATGCAGGAAAGGAGGGAACTGTCTGGAATCCAAAGGGAAAGTGTGGACTGAAAAAGCAAACTATATGCAACCTCATGCTCTGCTAGGAACATGTATGTCTTTTAGTTCTAAACAATTTTCTTGTTCACCATCTTGTATGCTTGTTTATTAGAGACAGCTCCTCATATACCCAAAAGAGGTGTCTTATAGTTTTTGTATATAGTATTCAAATATAGTATAGAGATGTCTTAGTTTTTGTTTGGCATATACTATGCCTGGAATGGTCTATAGCTGTTACCATAAATGATAGTTCAAACATAGGCTTTCCATCATTTTGGAGAGTATGTGTTTGAAGGAGCCAGGAGCAGTTGTGTAAGACGTATCTCCCTATAAACTAACAGGAGCCTATTTTCTCATCCCTCTTACGCATGTTCACAAGGGAATACTTGGATGTAAGAGGTGAGGTAATAACTAACAGTAAGGCAACCTTCTTTCCTGTGTTAGGAACAGCTCACCTCTTTTATGTCCTGTAGCAGTTGGATTGCCTGAGCGTAGTCTGGGGGACTAGCTGAGAGCTGTTCCTTCAGGCTGTCCCAGAAGGCTTTGTGCAATGTCTCCTTCGCTCTGTTTTCCAGGCTCAGAAAGAAGAAAGGAGGGGAGGCATTTTCTATTAACATCAGACACGTACAAACTCTCAGTTTGATGGGACCATTCCTCCCAGGAATGGGAGGAATTAATTACAGTTCAGGCCTTTGGACGTTTTCTTCTCTTAGTCTTTACTCCCAACTGTAAGCAATACACGTACCTTTCTCCACCTCATGGAAATCTCTCTCAACCTAAATTCCCCATTCTTCTGAAGTGGAACGCCTTCCTATCAACCCTGTTCATAAAATATGCTTAGCCAGTCTTAACTGTGGGGGTCAAAAGATAACAGTATCCTTCAAGGAAACTCGTAAGTCCCTCTGAAATGATCAACAGACGTTGATCTAGTGCTTGTCTTTGCAATGAAAGAGTGAAATATCAGGTCACTTAAATAGATTTTTATCTGAAATGCACTGGGCTCTAAGGGATCCCATGAGCCTGCACTGGGCTCCACAGGCCCATGCCGAGCTTGTAGCCACCCATGCCAGGCTTCTGTGCGCTCGCATGGACCTGTGCTGGCCCCTATGGGCTTGTACAAGCCCCCATGGGGCACCACAGTTTTGGATGGGCTCATGCTCAGCTTGTATGGGCCAGCACCAGACTCTACGGGCTTCTATGGGTCTGAACAGGGCTGTACAGGCTCATACAGGCCTGCGCCAGGATCGACAGACTCCTACAAGCCCACACTAAGCTCTGTGGGCTTGTATGCACCCCTTCTGAGCTCATAGCGGCCTGGGCTAGGCTCTACAGGCTTGTATGCACCTATGCTGGGCCCTACGGGCTGGTGCGGGTCCCCATGGGGCTTCATGGGCTTCTACAGGCTTACACCAAGCTTGTATGGGCCCGTGCTGGGCGCTATGGGCCTGAACGGGGCTCTAAGGGCTCCTACGGGCCCGTGCCAAGCTCATAAGGGCCCATGCCAGGTCCTATGGGATCATACGGGCCTGTACTGGGCTCTGTGGGATTCTACGGGCCTGAATGAGGCACTATGGGCTCGTATAGGCCTGCACTGGGCTCGTACATGCCTATGCCAGGCCCTATGGGCTCATACGAGCCCGTGCTGTGCTCTACACGCTCTACAGGCCTGCACAGGGCTCTATGGACTGCCCCGATGGGGCAGGCCCACACTGAGTTTATAAGGGCCTGGGCCAAGCCCTACAAGCTCATACGGGCCCGTGCTGGGCTTTATGTGCTTGTACAGGCCTGCATGGGGCTCTACGGGCTTCTATGGGCCCACACTGAGCCCTACAGGTTCGTACAGACCCATGCCAGCCCCTACGGGCTCATACGAACCCCCACAGGACTCCATGGGCTCATATGGGCCCACACCGAGCTTGTATGGGCCTGCACTGGGCTGTAGGGACTTCTGTGAGCCTGAATGGGACTCCATAGGCGCTTATAGGCATGCATCAAGCTCGTAAGGGCCCGTGCTAGACCCTACGGTCTTGTATGGTTGCCTGCTGGCCCCTATGGGCTCATACAGGCCCCTAGGGGGCTCCAAGGCTTCGGACCAGCCCACACTGAGGGGGCCTGCACTGGTCTCTATAGGCTCATACAGGTCACCACTGAGGTCTAGGGGCTTCTACGGGCCCGTGCTGAGCTCGTACGGGCCCACATCAGACTCTAGGGGCTCATAAGGGCCTGCACTGAACTCTACGGGCCTGGAGAGGCCCGTGCCCCTCGTACAGGCCTGTGCCAGATTCTATGGCCACGCTGAGCTCTGGGGCCCATACGTGCGAGCTCTAGAGGTTCGTATGGGCCTGAACCGAGCTCTACGGGCTTGTGCGGGCCTGGACCAAACTTATACAGGCCGGTACCAGTCTCTATGGTATTGCACGGGCCCACACAGAGCTCTATGGGCTTGTATGAGCCCAGATAGAGCTTGTACGGCCCCTGCCAGCCTGTAGGGGCTTTCACCGGCCCCTGCTGAGGTACGGGCTTGTACAAGCCCTTACCGAGCTTGTATGGGCGCATGCTGGCCTCTGTGGGCTTCTCTGAGCACCTGCCAGCCCTGTTCTATGGGCTCGGAGGGGCCCACACTGAGCTCTGTAGGCTTGTACGTCCTTGCCAAGCTCATACGGGCCTGTGCTGGCCTCTGAGGGCTTGTAAAGGTCCCTACCGGCATCTACGGGCTCGTAGGTGCCGCACTGAGCTCTACGGGCTTGTACGAGCCCTTGCTGAGCTCATATGGGCCTGTGCTGGCCTCTGCAGGCTTGTTGGGACCCCTGCTGGACTCTACAGGCTTTGATGGACCCACACTGAGCTCCACGGGCTCGTACGAGCCCTTGCTGAGCTTGTAAAGGCCCATGCCAGCCTCTGCGGACTCGTAAGGGCCCGCATCGAGTTGCATCAGCTTTTCCAAGCCCTTCCTGAGCTTGTACGGGCCAATGTTGTCCTCTGTGGACTTGTTAGAGCCCCTGCCCCATTTACAGGATTGGACAGGCCCACACCGAGCTCTATGGGCTTGTATGAGCCCTTGCTGAGGTGGCATGGGTCTGTGCTGTCCTCTGTGGGTTCCTACAGGCCCACACGGAGCTCACGGGCTTTTATGAGCTCTTACAGAGCTTACATGGGCCCATACTGGCCTCATGCAGGCTTGTACTGGTCTCTGTGGACTGGCTGGAGCCCTTAGAG